TCATGTACAAACACTAGATATTGAAGTATATAAACTAATCAAGGAAGGAAACACTTACCAAGTTGAAGATCTAGTGAAGAACTCGGATGATACTTGAGAGAGAATGAGTTCTAGGCTTGAAAATGGTAAAAATGACATAAAATGACTAAGTGTCATACTTATACCCAAGAGTTTACGGCCGCAAACTCCATTTTATGGCCGTAAACTCCAAACTCTTGGAGTTTTGAGACTTAAGTGTTGCACAATTAACTATAGAGTATACTTCCTATAATTACCTCTCATGGATTTAAGATTAAAACACCCAAACTGACTCCAAAAGTGCTAAAACTTTGCAGAAGTAAGTTTGACTTTGATTGGATGCAGCGTTTGTTATAAGATGGAAATTTCGAGTTATCACAAATGCTTGAGTTTAATTGAAAACAATGATTTCTCTTTAACTAAAAATAAAAAAAATTATTGTGATTTTTGGATGTTATATTGGAGAAGAGGTTGGTGCTGAGGTTGGAGAAGATGACCGGAGATGTCACCGGAGCTTGCGTCCGCCAGAAATATCATCGGAGGTAGAACTGAAACTCCCCAAAACATGTTTTACCTGCTATAGCAGGTAAAAATGGTATATTTAAAAAAAAAAAAAAAAAAAAAAAAAAAAAAAAAAACAAGTTTAAGGGTTACGAGTGCACCTAAAAAAATTAAGTGACCAAATGTGTACAAAAATTATAGTTGGTTACCCTTTCAAGTTATTATCGTTTATTGAAAACACCAAGTTTTGAAAAAAGAAAAAGACATGAATATTACTTAATTTTGTCTATTGTTTCATTTTAACCTTGAATAATTATTTAACAAAAGGGTTAGGTCAAAGGTCTCAACCTATTTAGTCTCCTATTTTCCTTTTTCTGATACATGGTTTTATAATGATATACTGTTTACAATGTTATCAGTCGTTTTACAGTTTTCAAGATTTAACCGTTTAAATAGGTTGTCTTTTTAGTAGATTTTTTTTGAATGAAGATAATTTTAGAGAGCTAGCAAGGCGGAGGGCATGATCATTTTAGCATATAGCCGTTCTAAAATCTAACAACCCAAACGGCTAATCCGTTCTTAACACCTCACCCTTAAGTATTTTATCAGTAGTGTAATTAATAATAATACTAGAAACCACTACAAAGTACATATAATATTAGGATATAATATTAGGATATAATATTAGGAGACGTACATCAATCAAACCATCTTAACAAATTAAAACAGATTATGTGTTTTATCCAACCAAAAGACAACCATTGCACATTCTCTGCTGTTCTCAAAGGGCTTCATTTTTCCTTGAAAATTAGATCATTTATAGCTTTCCAAAGGCACCACAACACTATGTAGGACAAAGCCAAAAACAGTTTGCGTCTTCTCTTGTCCCCCATTAAAGAATTAGCTATCAAAATCAAAGAGACGAAAAGCACTTTGGGGCAACATTAATTAAACCAGACAAGGAGCAAAACACTGCCACGCCCTAACAGCAAAATCACACTTAAAGAACACATGCTCAACTTCATCAACGTCCCTCAAAGAGTTATGCCATAAAATGGAGTTAATTTGCACACATCTCCATGAAATATTAATCGTCAATGGGATCGTGTTATGCATAAGCCTCCAAACAAAATAAGGTGTTTATTTAACGACACGCTTCAAAAAATACTAAATTTACAATGTGTCAGTCTCCTATCTTCTTATATATTGTTTCCAATGATACACAGTTTACAGTGATACACTATTTAGTATTTACAATATTATCAATTTTTTTATACAGTTTTTAAGATTTAACTGTTTAAATGGAATATTTTTTTAGGATGCTATTATATATACTCACCTCACTCACATAAATCGTCACATTATAAGGGATACATAAGTACTATTACACTCACATAGAGGATATACAAGAAAATTTAGGGATGCGAATAGAATTTCCTTTTTTTTAAACAGAACAGAAAATGGTATCATGAAGCTTTTATTTTTAAAAAAATCTTATATGTTTGTATCAATTCTGAACTTGAATGTAAGTCAACCTAACTGATAGTAATAATGCCGACACAATTCGGGTGCTAGTTCTTTTGGAACTGGAGGCCATCAAATTTGAAATCTGTAAGATTCGAAAATAGGGCATTAGAAAACATAAAAACAATGTTTTTCCATTATTTTTTGATGATTTTCGCTAAAAAAGAATATATAATTATTATTGATTAAATTTTATGATAAAAATTATTAAATTACGACAGTTAATGGATGAAGAAACATATATAGATGCTTTATAAAGACTCCTCTATTTAATAAAAAAAAAAGTTAAAGGTGATATATATATTTTTAAATAAAATCTTTTATTTATTTTACCAAAGAAGTAAATGTTGTGATGTTGTCACACTCACATCACATGGCACATACCCTTTTTCATGCAGACAACCAAATTATGCAACTTGGAAGCTGTTTTCAACTTTTTCAAGCTTTCAGTGGAGACTAGAGTATTCTTTTCTTCCTGTAAACAAAAGCATTAGATGATAAATAAATATAAATTTAAAACAAAATTTGACTTTTTATAAGATTTTTTATTTAACGTATAATTATATTTACTAAAAATATTTGAAGTTAAATGTACTAAAAACAATTTGATGTGCAAGTAATTTAAAGTATATGACAATACAATAATATATATCACATATCATTTAACTTCTTCAAAACAAAGAGTCTTGAATTTGAATCTTTTTAAATTCAATTTTGAAGTAACTACCACACAAAAAAATAAATAATTATATAAAAAATAAGTAAAATGTGTAGAAGTAGTCAAGGTTCACTTAAACTATTTTTGAATGTGTACAATCCCTTAAGAAAATGTTAAAAAGACTAACAGAAGTTGTTTAAGCTCCCTTTAATATATCTTATATCATTTTACACTCCCTTTAATAAGCTCCTTAGTAAAAAAAAAAAAAAAAAAAAAAACCTTTTTATAACATTTGGAAATATGCCAAAAAATAAAAAGTTTATTCCTCTATATTCCCATGTCCCAAAAGAAAATAATAATACCAAAAAGAAAAAACCAACAATGTATATGTTGCCAAAAAGGTAAATTAAACACCGAATATCCCAATAAAAATGTGATTGGGACATTTGTGTATTCATTTGCGTCGCCATATTCACATGTTCAATAGGACATGGGTAAAAAGCTGCCACATCATGCTCAAAAAGAATGCGTCACTATCCATCGTTCGATAATTATTAACATTTATTGTATATATGTACTGATTTTGATTTAAAAGAAAGAAAACCCGTATCAAGATTGTTTTTGAATTGAACGATTTGTGTTTCTAGTTAGTTCATTTATCAATAATGGTCTTGCTAGGAGTTAGGACCATTCTTTCGGTTTCGTGCCTGAATCTGGCCCGCATGAAATGGTACGTTGGTGCCACTGTTTTCTATGCATGGAATATGCATAGATCGCTGTACTTCAATGATAAACCTTAAATTCACTGTTTTAGCAAACGGTAAGTATTGGTCCAACCATTGAAACTTTTGGTTAACAAATTTGTTCTTACTTGATTATAGACTGAAAATTGACTGATTGAGTGCGAAAAAAAATAATAAAACAAGTTGAAAAGGGGTTTTTTAATTCATTGATTGGGAATGTGATCGTATTAGTATCAAAATGGGTAATTACTAGGTTTTGTGTTTGTTAGACATAATTGTATTAACAATTTGCAATGTGGATGATTTGGCACGATGGAAAACGTATCAACGACTTATAAACATAAAGTTGATTATTATGTTTCAAACAAATCTAAAATTGTTCATAAACCAAAAAGTAATATGAAAAAATAAATAAATAAATAAATAATAGAACCTAATCTCGGTTGCGATCACGATGAAATAGCCACCTATGGTGTTGGAAGATGAAATTATGTTGTTGTTAGTGATGATTATCCGTATGATTCCTGGACTTGTTGATATATGATATGAAAACAATCTTCAAGCAAATGTTCTTCAATATGATTAAGAGGTGTAAGATACCCTCAAAACCACAAGAAAATCACTAGAATTTGTCTTGAAAATCTTAGGAATCAATAAGACAAAGTCCATATTTATAGATATCTTCAAATAAGAAAAAAGGGGTGAAATTTCACAACACCATCCTAGATGACGCCCCATGCAACTTGTGTGGACAGTGAATAGATTTCAGCAGCATGGCTGTATGAGAGTTGGGCTCTAGGACGGCTAGGTGTCCTAAATGAATGGCCAGACTTACACTCTTCTAGTATTTCACATAAGCAACACAAGATGGTTCCACGATGGGTTGGCGTCCTAAAAAGCATCTTAAAAGCTACCTATAACACCATGAAGTAGGTTGCTATTTAGTATTCTTTGTCTTTTCACCACAAAAATTTTAACCTATGGGGACGACAAAAATCGTCTCTATAGAGTGGAAAGTCGTCGCTATAGTCCTCAGCAACGACTTGTCGTCGTCATAGATTTGTTGTCGTAGGTTCGTCGCTTTAGGTTGTAAGGTCGTCGTCATAGCCTTCGTCGCTGTAGCCCCCTTATAGCGACGACAAATCGTCCCTGTATAGGGACCAATAGAGACAATGTATTATCTCCATAGTGACCCATATAGATATGACATATTGTCGTCATAGCTTCATCTATAACGATGACATATTGTTGCTGTAAGTACACCTATAGCACCGATAAGTCGCCCATATAGGTGTTTTACAGGTTTTACACATTTTTTACTCTCTGTGTTAAATTTCCAAAAAAATTATGTACAATATAATTTTCATATAAAATAAAACCAGAAACAGTTAAGTTAAATTTAAATCATTCCAAATATCATACCATCCAAACTTTTAAAATATCTTACATGCTCGGTTTACCAAAAATACAAAGCCAAATTTGATTTTGTTTAGATGTTTCATACAAACCAAACTAAAACAAACAACCTAATTATCAGATCCACTAGAATTACTTTGTCATTCTTCGTTTACATCATCTTCTTCATTTTCATCATCTTCATTTTCATATCTTTGATTTTCTTCATCTTCTTCATCGACATCATGAACGTTTGGAACTTGTAGTCGGGAAGGATCAAAAGTAATTTGAAATTGTGGTGGTTGGGTGTTTGGATTTTGAGATAAGAACATTTGAAGCATTTGTTCGGTAAATTGTTGAGTCAACTCTTGAGCAAATGCATTGAAGTTTTGGGCATTGGTTGATGTACTTGGCACATAATATGGTGCTATATTTTTCACTTTTCTTCCGATACCTCTTGTATGATTGCTTCTTTCTCCAAGTGAATGTTTGAGACATTCTGTCTGATTAACCAATGAATCATCACCATCAACCTCTTACAACATTTTCCTATACTCTTCCATAATTTTACCCTACAATAAATATTTATTAGTTATTTTTTCTAAAATTTGGCAACATAACAGCTATAAAAAAAAACATGTTCAAAGTATACAAATACAAAGAATAACATTTTCAAATTTTGAATAAATATACTTGTAATATATGCAATCCACTTTAAATACAATATAAACAATTCACTTTAAATTCCATATGAATAATTTACACAAAATAACATCATACTAAAAGTACATAAATATCAATTTTACTTACCCAATCATGATGCGCCTAAGGGTGACATCATCATTTTCCTTCCTTAAAGTGACTTTTTTTTTCCATCCATCAATGTGTTTTGCCCTTCCGGTTTCTTTTTTCTATAAAAAGCCACGCAAACTATTACTAATATTTCATAGAAAATGTTAAAAAAAATAATAAAAAAAACCCTTAAATAACACTAAAATAAATCTTACTTCCTTATGCTGCTTTTGGACATAGGATTCAGTACCATGAGAACTTCCATACACCTGTTTTCCCCTGTTATCTTTATTTTTTACAGAACGGTTTTGATATTTTTCGTTCATGAATAACTTTTTAATAACTTTCCTCCATGATTGTTCATTCATTCTAGGTGGGGGTGTTTCATCGCCTATGCCACATCATTGTAGCCTCCAACTCTCATAAAATGCTTTTTCACCTTAGATTTGCGGCGCCTGTAACTTGCTTTGAAATCTGCGTCAATTCCTTGCACAATGTTATTCCAATGAGGCGTGTCACGGAAATAATCTATATCAAAATAATTCTACAAAAGAAAATGAAAGGATTATAAAACATCTCAAAAATATAAAGTTGCAATACTAGTAAACCATTAAAGTTTATACGTACATGTAAGGTGGGATAGATTTTTCTTTTTATAATCTTCAGGGACATAGTGAAAGGGGACATTCTTTGCAACCTCATTCGAGACCAAGCGTATATAAACCTGATAGTTATCTCCAACGACCGTATATAGTCTCCCCGTGATATCAAACTCCAAGGGAAATGGCTTCTTCTTGTTAAGTCTAAGCCATTCATACAAATTCAAATTTCTTCCAAAACTTCTCTTTGGTTTTGCTACATTTATATATGTAATTAAAAAGTTAGTAAGCTAAAAAGTTATTGAATATAAAGACATATTTAATTAGAACAAGTTACTTACATGACTCACAAGCTCTAAGAATCGTATGTGGCTGTCTTGGAAGTTTACCCCCATCGTCTACACCGTGTCCTCTAGAACATGTACTGGCATTTTGTTAAAATAAATAATAAACATAATTTAAACAAAACATTATAAACAAGAATTTTAACATGTAACAATCATCTATTAAAGATACAAAAATGTAATGTCCCGATTCTCAGGTATTGATTTAAATAAAAGTTTATTTGGTTTTAAGATCTACTCGACGAGTTGGTTCCCCTGCTCGTCGAGTAGCAGAGGGGTGGGATCGCATACTGTCACACCCCAAAACCAAGAACGGCGGAAACGTTCTGCGGCGGAGGATGCCATGTACAGTATCACAACAATGAAAAGTAGTAAACAAGCAACAACATCATCCATTGCATTAACAATATAATTTTAATACAAGTGTTCTGTCAAATTATAATAGACACTAAAGTATAAACAAAATGAAAGATGAGTCTTGAACGAGCTCCATCTTCTCTAAACTTTGCATCGGTACCTATCTACTATTGACCTGATGATACAAGTTATTACGAAAGAGAGTATCAGCTTTAAAGCTGGTGAGATCAAATATATTAATGTGTCTTAATTTGTATGTAAGTATTTGTTTGATATGTAATGAAAGACTGGAAAATGTTTTGAAAGAGAGTTCGTGTAAGTATGAAAATGTTTGTAAAACAACTGTAAACATTTGAAAAACCCTAGAAATCCCTATAATTTCTACTATATTAAAAGGGAGTCTTCTACCAAGACCCAACTGTTCTAAATGTAGTCTTCTACCAAGACTTAACTGTTTTGTATATTCTTTTCTTGTAAAAGTGTGTAATTTTCCCCAAGTGTAACTATCATTAACAAAATATAGTTTGTACATTAATGTTTAAGTGAAATGATCACTAACTATATGTAAAGGGTAAATTAATGTAGTACTGTAGTGTTGTATTATAGGAACTACTGATGTACTAACTACCTTAAACCGGATTTATATTAAGGTATCATGAGATTAATTGTACCATACTATCGACTACGTAACACGACAAATGTAGGTCGTAAAAAGGTATGACGTTTGGCACCCGCAGACCTGTAGGTCCGGCTGTAGCTAGCAGCAAGGTGTAGGATAGTCAATCCAGTATAGATCTATATGCAAACTCACACTCTCTCTCCAAGAGACTCTGGCTACAACTCGGGCCATGACATTGATGGCATGCTCCGATACGGTGGATCACAATTTTGTTAACGTATTCATGTATGTGTAATGTATTGATACTCGTTCTAGTATAGTTTTATATGTTCTTCTTCTAGTATAGTTGTATATGTTCTCTTTTTAGATGTATCTATGTAAATGTAATCATGTAAACATATCTATGTAATAGTATACTAATGTATTGTAATGTTCTACATGTGCTAGCTGTAATGTGTGTTCTCTCTACCTAGCATGTATAGTAATATACTGTGTGTACTAGCTGTAAGGTATGTTCTCTCTATCTAGCAAGTATTGACTCATGAACGAACTGACTCGTTGTATGACATCACGTTCTAGTAATAGTTCTAGTATCTCCCTAAACTACCCATATGGTAGCTTACTAGTAATTTAACTGGTACGGAAGAACATGGATGTATACCCTTGCTACCCAAGGGCATTCGATGAACTGGAAGGACGTTTATGACTATATATGTACATATGATATATAACTAATATTTAAACAACCTTCAGACGGATACCTGATGTCCCACCATACCACATCTCAAGCGCAAAAAGGAAATAGGGTGGATAGCCTTCCTAAGTCTTTTAAACATTTCTTATATATCTATACATATATAGGCATGCAATTCATAATATAAAAGCATAAAATAAGTTTTGTAAAACCTTTGAACATAATTATTATCTAAGAAAAGATCGACTTGATGTCAATCTATAAAACGGTTTGAAGGCATGGGTTTGATAAAACAGTTTAGTGTAAAGAAACATTTGTTTGAAACACAATTGTAAATGAGTTTGAAATGAAACATACAGAGTAAAATGTACAGTTTAATAAGGATTTTTAAACGTATAAAGTGTTTATGAAAAACATTTGAAAGAAACTGTTTGGTAAAACGGTTAATGAGTAGCCAATCATTTGAATGCTGCTTATTAATCACATATGATTGATATAATAACTAGCATGATTCTACTTGTATCCCCCCCCCCCCCAATAAAGTATTTAAAAACATTTAAAACATTGATTAAGGGGTATGAACTCACCTATTGTGAGTGGTACTGATGAACTGAAGAGGTAGGACTGCTAGGCGTCAAGTGAAGACTTTAGACACACATAATGGTCCTAATTACATATGAAGACATATGTATATAAACAATTAGTGATTATAACACTAATTAAACATGTATAAACAACCTAATATGAGGAAAACACTTTGGTCGAGTGCTAGGAGGCTAATGGGTTGCAACAAAGGAGTGCAAGACCTCTTACGGGAGTTTATGGTCCAAAGACCATGTGTGTTGGAGTTTACGGCCCAGGGGAGTAAACTCTTGGCCGTAAACACTCTATTAGGGCACTAAATGAAGCTTAAATCTATTACATCTTAAGTGGTGAAGTGCTTCAAGGCTTACTAGAGTGTTAGGGATTCTTTTTAACTCCTTTGAGGAGTTCACGGCCCTTATGAGTTTACTTCCATAAACTCATGGCCACTTATGTTTATGAGGGTCCTAAAGGTCATAAGGAAGCATTCTAAATTCAAGCCTAATCCTTAGAAAGTGTTTGTGCCAACAAAACACCCCTAACATGAGTTTACGGCCCATGGACCATTTGGTCATGTGTTTGCGGCCATGAACACCTATGGGTGTTGGTATTTTGATTGGTTTGGGTCCTAGACGCATCAAGGTAATGTGCTATGCTAGTCTCTTGGCTCAATGAAGGCATTTAGGGCATTTTGGCAACTTAAAATGGAGTTCACGGCCTAAGAACATGCTTGGCAATGAACTCACTTTTAGCACTTGATTCTTAATGTTTTTGATGTCTAAACAATCCATGTGTAGTCTTTAGGTTCAGTTCCAAAGTTTGGAGGCACACTGGGCACACTTTGGCCCTAAATTTAGTGTTCACGGTCCAAGAAGATCTTGGGCCGTGAACACCATTTCCTTGGTGTTTTGAGGTTGATTTCCAGCCCTAAACTCATTAGGGTACAAGTCCAACTAGTTTCATGGCTTAAGGAAGGGACTAGGCACCATTTGACCCTTATAAAAGAGTTTACTCCCCAAGGTGTTCTTGGGCGGTAAACTCTCAAATCTTGTTGTTTTGATATGATTTTGATGTTATTAAACACTATATAAGCTATATAATACAACTATATAGAAGTACTCACGATTTGGGATGAAAACCCGAAGATCCGCGAGAGAGAAAATGGCTTTTCTCTAGTTGGAAATGTAACTAATGAATAAATATGGTTCAGAATCCTATATATAGTCCTGGGATTTTTGGCAGAAAATATTTTTATTCTGGCGTTGAATTCTAATATCAACGAGCTTTGGAATAACGGAGTTGTACAAAACCCTAGTGCATCCACTCTCCTGATATCTCCTTAAGTATCTGAAATACTCCAAACTTATTCCAAAAGTCTGAAAATTTACTGCAACTGTTCTAACTTCTATTGACTTTTAAGGTTTGACCGAATGGAAATTTTGGGTTGTCACATCATCCCCCTGTTAAAGGGAATTTCGTCCCAAAATTAGAGTTTAGGTAAGGAAGTAGGTATGAGTGATCGAGTCAAGAGGTGGGGAAACTTCCTAATCGATTGGTTCTCGTGCTCCTAAGTGAAATCGGGTCCTCGGTTGGTATCCCAATGAACCTTCATTATAGGGAGGCGACGCTGCTTCGTCCACTTGACCACTCGGTCTAGGGTCACTACGGTTCTAATACGAAGGCGAGGATCTCGTTAATCTCGATCTCGTCGAGTGGGCTTATGAGAGCCCTAACGGAAAGGTACAGTTTCAAGATCGAGACGCGAAGAGTAAAATGTACGTTACTGAGTTCGTGGTGTAGGGCTAGTTTGTGGGATACAGGACTGATTTTGGTAAGAATCTTGGAGGTCCTGACTAACTTGTATTTAGCTTTCCACACGAAGGAAAACGTATTAAGCCATTCCCAGAGTGAGTTTTCCTAAAGGACTTGGTCTCTCACTTGGAATCTCCAAGGTTTCTTTTTCTTGTTTAACTTCCCAGTCGGGGGCCATCCCTGTTGGGTCAAAGTCGTAAAGGTTTCTGTGATTTGCAAGGAGTTTTGGATGATCTATGACAGTAGGTCTGTAAGACCTAGAATTTGGCAAATTTCTATCGGCGGCTCTAGTGTCGACCAATTCCCAACAGTTTTGATAATTTGACAGTGTACTCAAGAATTTCCACATCACTAATAGTGTGTCTTAGGAAATTTTGACTCTTCAATTCCAAAACTCGTGTTTAGAGAACTTCGCGAAAAGTTTCTCCAAGGGTAATGTTTCCGTGGGTTCCTTCTTACTACAAGGGTAGATAAGTGAGTCATTACATGGAGAATGACGAACTGATCCAAGTAAGAAAGACAGACTCCATTCATTAAACTTATGAATGCTTCAGGTGTATTGGTCCTATCCGAGGGGTATCACTACAGACTCGAAGTGTCTACATTAAGTTCGGAGGGTAGTCTTCAGGACATCCATTCATCACACTCAAACTGGCGATATTTGGATCCCAGGTCCATTTCTGAAAGTAATTATTTGCTTGCGTTTGCTCAACTGCTTCATCTATGTGAGGCAGAGACAACGATTTCTAATGGAAAATCTCGACGGAGTCCTCAATATCTGAGGTACATACGATGCAATCCGTCGACCTCTAGAAGAATAAGACTGGGGCTCTCCAGGGTGAGAAGCCTAGTCTTCCAATTCTATTTCTGTGTAGTTTGCTAAGTTGTCCGGGTTGTACTTGTATCTCCATAGGTGTTTAGACTGAAGGGAAATATGTTTACAGAAGTCTTACTAGGTTCTAAGTTTGCTCACATGAGGATGCGATT